ACACAGTGGAATAGTGTTTGTCCATAAAACGTGAAAGTCTCTGGGATTTGAAACAACATGGATGGAGCTGGAGGACATTATGTTAAGTGTTTTAAAAGCAAGGCTACGTGGTTCCTATTCATATGTGGAAACTAAAAAAAAAATGGTTTTTGCAGCAGTTGATTGTAGAATATTGTTTACTGGAGATTAAGAAACGGAGGAGGAATGTGGACAGAGAAAAGTTAGGTGATAGATCCCAAAGGGCAGTTATATTGAGAGTAATGCTTTCTAGCATGGTACAACATAATTGAATAACAATACTCTACAATGTCTATTACATATGTTATAATGAACTAAGACTGTGAAGCTTCTCAGAATAAAAATTACAAACATTTAAGGAGACATGCTAATCACCCTGATGAGATTGATTATATGTACTGAATTACCACATCGTACCCCATAAATGCCCCATGTGTGTTGATTTAAAAATGACAAGCCACAAAAATGTTTTTCATTTTTCAGAGGTCCTAGGTTTGTGTGTACAATAGACTGCGTGATGTCTGTCTGCCACAAAGCATGTGGCCACGGTATCATGTTCACCACTGAGAAGCAGAATCCCTATGACTTCTGGGATAATGGTTTTTCTCTAGATCTCCGTCAGTGCCAGGGCTTTGAATAACTGTTATCCTGGTGTTCATTTGCAAAACTTGTAGGATTCTTCTAGGTTTTACCCCTGTTAATCATTTCTTTTCTTATAACTGCTGCATTGTTGCCAACGTAATGCTTCCATTGTTCCTTTCTAATGCTTTCAGTGAGCTCTTTTACCACTGGAAAAATAAGAGATAGTATAGACAAGTTGTAAAGTCTTATTTTGCTCTGCCCTAAAAGTCAATGCTGTATTGCCCTCAAGGAACTGCTTTGCCCTAACAAGCAGCTTATTAGGGAGATTCTACAAATCCCATATGTCCAGAGGCTATCCCTTCCCATTGTCCTAAAATCAACCCTACCCTTGATTATCCCCTGTTTCAAAGTAACACTATTGAGTGTCTCTTTTGTCTACTTAGTGGATCAAAGCAACCATCAAATATCTTCAAAGATGAAACCCCTACCTTATGACGCATCTACCCTCTGACCTACCCTATCTTTCTACCAAGACTTAGGTATCCTGATATCAAGGGCCAAAGTTTCTACCTATACATCTTAGTTCTGAGAAAAGAAAGTGTAGAAGTTCTACAAGCTAGTCATAAATGTTCTTTACCAAACACATGTTTTCTGACAGGAGAGTAAAGGAAATGGATAGAGTCTGTTTGTTCTTCAAACTCAAGCAATTCTTTAGGTTCCCCAGCCCCTTGAAAGGTCTATGGAATTCTCAACAAAAGGCACGAGGAGGTCAAAAGATACATGGGGATTTTTATGCCTTTCTGTTAGTCCTATCTCTTATCTGGCTCTTGGAGTTTCTTAAGTTAATATCTGGCTGCCTAGTTTCATCCAAAAGAATCCTCAGAATGATATGGCTGAATACCATACTTCCCATGTCCTACCCTTGCCTCACCTTGGCTCAGAAACCCTCTTAGAGATATTCCCATATGTCTTGGTTTGGATGCAATATGTGCTATTTCTGTGTTTCCATTACCTGCTCTGGTTCCCAATCTGAATATAGATCCCTAAAAACTATGGAAAAATCAGACATGGAAGCATATCCCTGTAACCCCAGCACTGAGTTCGGGGCGACAGGTAGATCCCATGGGCTCACTGGCTGACTAATCCAATCAAAATGCTGAGCTTCAGATCCAGTGAAAAGACTCTGCCTCAAAAAAAATGGTGAAGCTTGGTTATTTAATTTTCATGACAGGCAGATATTACCCAATATTAAGCTAATATTTGTAACATATCTTCCTTCTAGCTACCCTTCTTTAATATACTTGGTAAATGTGATTTCTTTATTATAAATAAAAACTCAATTAACTGCTACTCAAAAACAAAACAAGTTGAGATGTAAGAAGTCAAGCTTGAACTAAACTAGAAGATTCCTTCCTGATGGTTCTGCTCTTAGATGCAGGATGCTGTAAACTAACAGCATCAGTGGTCTAACCCATTCTGAAGTCTACAAACTATACTACCAGGCAGAATAATGGTCATTTACGTAATAATGGCACAATTATTATGAGAGTAGCCAACCACTCCCTATTTGGTGCTTTTTCTATGAAGAAATTCATGCTTAATAATGTAAACCTTGTCCAAAACCCACAAAAGAAGTGGTCTTATAGCCTTCAGTGGAAGGAAGGGAGGTGGCTGAGGTGACTGCTTACCTGAGTTGGTATAACAATAAACCATCTCCTAAAAATCTATGCTTATAACCACAGTTGAAGGCTATTCTCGACTTTAAATAGGGGTGCTTCTTACAGTGAATGACTAAACAAAATGCTGACAATAAAGAAAAGTTGAGTACTAAGACCCTCCCCTCCCAAGGTTTACCATCCCTTTAAAGCTCAGAGAATTCTACAGAAAATGAAGCATTTTCTTGGGAGGGGGGTCTTAGTACTCAACTATTCTATACCGTCAACATTTTGTTCAGTCATTTGCTGTAAGAAAAAGCTTCCCTATTTAAAGCTGAGAATAGCCTTCAACTGTAGTTCTAAGCAGATGGTTTATTGTTATATCAACTTAGGTAAGCAGCCTCCTCAGCCCCCTTCCTCCACTGAAGGATGTTGTGTATGTGCATACATATAGAGACACAAATGCATGTGTCTAGGGCCTGCAAAGATGGCTCAGTGAGTGAAGTGCTTGCCATAAGAACACAAAGAGCTAAGTTCAGATCCTCAGCACCCAAGGAAAAGCTGGCAGTAGGGCTCCTGTGCATGTCTATAACCCTAGCACTGGGGGAAAAGGTGAAGACAAGTGGATCCCTGGGAATTTCTGGTTAGATAGGTTAGTCAAGTGGGTGAGCTCCAGGTTCAGTGAAAGACTTGATCTCATAAATAAATAAAGTAAATAAAAAAATAAAGTGACACCAGACATTTGTCTCTGACCTTCACATGCACAATCACTTATGTCCATACATAGATGTAGATTTCTCTCTCTCTCTCTCTCTCTCTCTCTCTCTCTCTCTCTCTCTCTCTCTGTCTCACACACACACACACACACACACACACACACACACACACACACATACACAAATGCATGTGCTTAATTAAGCAGTTTTGATTGGATAGTGATAATAAATATAACAAAAAGTTCATATCTCTTCTTTGGTCTTTTTCAGCAAGAAATTCCATAGCTTTATCAAAAGCCTTTTAGATTTCCTGTTAGTTTGGCAACTCAAAGAGAACTAAGCATGATAGTTATTAGTTTGTTCTGATATTTCATAAATAACAAGTTCACACAGTTATCGGTCAGATTAATTCCCACTCAGGTAGCTTTGTCCCTCTCCCATCCAGGTTCCTGAGCTTCTGTGGCCATGGAATATAATTTGTTACATTCTTACTACTTCCTTGTCTTAAGTAATTGTGCTAAAACACTACATGCTGCTAGTTTACTTACTCAAAACAGATTCTAAAATGAGTATGATGGTACATTCTTACTATCCCAGTGCTTGAGCAGATGAGGCAGGAGGATAGTAAGTTTGAGGTAAGCCTGAACCATATAGCGAGAATATGTCTCACAAAAAGAAGAAAGGAAAGAAGAAAAAGGGAAGGAAGGAGGAAGGGAAAGAAGGAGGGAGTAACCAACCAACTCCCCTCTTCCACTAGGAAATTTTCAAAATATCTTTAGAAGATCTAGATAAGTATGAAATAAATATCATGATAACCCACTGAACTGTCTCACAAACCTTCTGTTAGTGCTGTCTATCAAGTCAATATTCAATCCCAGTGCAAGGAGGGCTTATGCAATCAATCTGAGATGTGGGAATCGAAGCAGTAGGTGACTGACTGATAGAATCAGTCTCCCTAAGACTCATTTAAAGAATGAAGGTGATAACTGGGTATCAAGAAGTTTATATGAAATACTGGAACCAAGCATGGTAGACCGTGCATCTCATCCCAGCACTGGAGAGACTGAAGTAGGAAGATTGCCATGAGTTTGGAGTTGACCTAGATTGTAGAAAGCTTCAGCCCAGCTTCAGGTATAAAGTAAGACCATGTCTTCAGGAAAAAAATAGACATAATGCTCTTCACACAGTAGTAAGTTATAAATCTTTCTGCCATCCATAAATATTGATTAAATGGAGGAAGGGACAAATGAATGAACAGTCAATGAGATAAAAGCCTATTGTGTGTTCCCATATAGATTTTCCTCCAGACTTCTGTTTAATAGATGGAGAAGATTGTGCATGGTGGGGTTTAGTAATGCTGGCAAAGGACAGATTTACTCCTAGCATCTCCTAGGAGAAAGAGCCATGATTCTGTCAACCCACACTCTGTTGGCAGAATTTCTTTTCTAGTTTATAAGAATTCTCTGCAGAGAGTTGGATGAATCCTAACCAGGGAATCATTACTAAACAATTAAAATGAAAATAAGTATTTTAAGTACCTCATTGGAGCAATGTGCCCAGTTTTGAACCTACCCTCATCCCATCTGTACCCACACTTAATTAGTAGGAGGGGTTCTTGGTCTGCTTCGAACATATTCTGGTTACCTCTTCTTTTGAGGCCTGAATGCATGCGGTGCTGCCTCCTCCTACTTCCAAATCTATACAGCTACTTGTTTGTCAGATCATCTTGCCAAAGTAATAGTTCACTGTTCTTATGGTATAGAGTGGGGAAACATGCATGTGATGACATGGGGCTCATGCCCTAACCTAAGCTTCCCTAACTAGAAGAATGATCAGAAAAAGAGCCAATAGGTGAACAGTAGTTCCCCAAGCAGTTATGAAACAAGATATACCTGGAGGTATGGCTTTCCCAAAAAAAAAAACATACTTAAAATGCGGTCTAAATTGAACACTCCTGGTAGAGACTCATCTTTGAAAATGGTCTCTTTCAAAGAGACTGCTTTTCTACTCACCTTTTGCTTCCTTTGAACTACTGTTCACCTTTGGGGACGTATTTCAGTTCACTTTTAACGTTTTGTATCTCAGACAAGTTGACAACAGGTCCTGGGAATTTCTTCATTCCAGGAATTGGCTTCTTTTCCTCTGAGGTGGCAGGCACTCCCTGGGAAAAAAAGAGGGAAAGAATTCAACTCACCCAAAACCAAGGATATTTGATCTCTCTGGTTCCTGGCATAGAGCAGGAAAACAAATATCAAAGGAAGAATGTCAGAGTGCAGTTCTGGCAAGGCAACTTCCTCTGGTGTTAGTGTTCAGACAGCTTTAGAGCTTCAAGAAAATTCCCTGAAGTTAAGTTTGTACAGGAATGTAAAATAATGTTGTGAAGGGGGAAAGTCCTCTCCATATAACTTAAGACGTATTAGCAACAGTTCAGTGTCTAGTAACTAAGAAATACTACCAACACTTAGATGGAGTTGTATTTCCCACAGAGGCATCTCCTAAAAAGTGACTTTAATTTAGAATCATCCCATTATCAGATACCTGATGGCAGGAATCTGTAAACTGTCAGGGCACAGCTACCCCTAATTAGTGCAGAAGTGTGTACAACTGTTTGAAGTATAGTGGCTATCAGCCTTTTGTCATATGATGCCTTTGGGAAAGATAAACTCAGAAGCACATAAGGAAAATGTCTTTGAGTATGGGCTTTGAATATGGGAGGGAATAACAGAGGAGGCCAACCTTTGCCTGTTGCTTTGAGTAGTAATCTAAATTTCCTATCTTTAAAGGAGTCTCCATTTTAGGGAGGGATCCACAGCTTTTTCTTTTTGTGTGTGATGCCTCCAGTGTCAACGACAAGGACTGAAATGTATACTTGACTTTTGTTTAATCAATCCTATAATCAACCCATATCTCTTATATGCATACACCAAGCAGACATCGAAAATGACTATAAAACATTAAGCTCAGTTGTTGCGTATAGCTCCATCTAGTTACTACAGAAGAAAATTGCATGCTAATCTGTTCTTCCAATCTGCCTTAACACATACAGCTAGTATCTGCACTTGTGTGTGGGGGGTAGGTGGGTGTACACAGATTCATGATGGTAATGTTTAATGCTAGATCTCTTCCTATCAAGTTATTAAGACCTCAATAGTCTACTTTTTTCCATCTCTTTTTACTAAGGAATGAAAAACCTAAAAAAAAAAAATTGTCCAAAGCCTTACAACTAAGAAGTGAGTAGACTAGAATTAAATACTATGTTGCTTATGAAGGGACAAAATGAAAGGAAATATTTAACAATACCCTTAGAACACTTCAAGCATACACCTGCTTTTCTTGCATAAAAGGATTTGAATAGAAGACCCCTGTGCCAGGAGTATGCCTATGTCTAACAAGTCACTGACAGAGGATGCAATTCATGTCTGTAGGCAGAGCAAAGGACTGGTCAGAAGCCACAGGTACACAAGAGACAGCTAGTGTTCACAGAGCTTGTCAGACAGCCAATGACTCAAGCTATTTTCCTGCTAGGACACATCCATTTGTTCACCTCTTAGAAGATGTCAAGCTCAAAAGACCATCTGAGTTTACCTGGGGGACTAACTGGCTAGGACAGAGGTGAGCTGTGCTGGTTACTGATGGTATACTACAAACAACACATTCTACTGTAATTCTGTTAACATGAGGCTTGGATGTGAATTCGAAACCTATGAATGTAAGCAATGCTTGTTTTGCAAATACTGATGGCAGTGATAAATGTGAATAGGGAAGTTATTCTGAATTCATAGTCAATTTCCTCATCCAAACTGTGCTACAGAAGGTAGCTAGGGCCTCAAGCCAAGCCACAAAACATCCATTTAATGTACCCTTATAGCTAAGAAAAGCTACCCAACTACTCCCCTTGCAGTATTTCTCTGGGAAATTTATTCTGAGACCCAAGTCAGAGTTTGAGTCATGAGGTCACTTCCTCCCTTAAACTCCCAAACCCTAAGAGTTCCTATCTGCTTGCATTGGGTAAGGAACAGCCTTAGCTCTGTATTCTACCAAAAGAACCCCAAGAACAAAGAGTAGCACAATGCATGGAACATCTCTAGGGTCTCAGGATCTCTGTGGATATCTCATCCTCTCTACCCTAAGAGGAATATCAATTGGCCACTTGAATACATGAGTGGTTAGTGTATGTGGTCACAAACCAAGTAAAATTGGTCCTTAGTAATTTTATACAGTGTGTCCAAACCATCAGACTAGGGCCAAGGAAAGAGTGAAAGGAAAGGGTATTCCTAGCCTCTAAAGGAAGATACTTATGTTGTACAGGGAAGAGCCCATGGCTGCCACTCCACTAAGGGAAAGGAAGAAGTGAGCCTTCCCGCATCTCAGCTGTTGTACCAGCCAATTTCACATAAAAGCAGGACCAAGCTACCTTGTGACTAACTATTGTAGCAGTGAGAGGTACAGATTAAGAGCAAGGTAGGTGGAGAAGGAAAAACTACAATGACAAATAAAAGGAGGTGGGGGCAGAGTCCTGTGGCCATCCCTTCTAAATGTCTCATGATTACAGGCTAGAGCTGAGGACCTAAGATCGTAGTTAGGACCAAAGTCATCTTAGCAAACTTTGAAGTAGTGGGACAAATACAAAAGCCATAGAAATCATTACCTTTTAAAATGCCATAATTTTTGTGGTGATGAGATGATCAAAAATCTTAATCCCTCCCCAACCCCTGGCCCCTGAATCAGACCTCAGATTTCAGCAGAAAAGTCACATGCAAGTAAATAAATATAAATATAAGGAGGGGCATGTGTTGCTGGTTTTTTCATTTTTTTGCAATTTTTAGTTTTAGTCTCTATTTTTGCAACATATTTGAATTGGGCAGGAAGTAAAGAATAGGAGAAGGAAATACAGAGAGAGAATCTAAACAATCTCTTTTGGAAAGCTTTGTTTTTAAAGGAATGTCAAGAGCCATCTAGGAAAGGCTAAGGCTAACAGGTGGCCTTCCAGGATGTGGTGGTCCACCTTTTTTGCATGGCCTAAGATGGGTGAGCTCTGAGAGGCAAGGTCTCAAAGAAGTTTCACCTTAGGATTGCTTCTTGCAGCTGATACGTCTTTCCTGTCATTACTAAATTAATATAATAATCTCTTGTCATTACCCAACTCTGAGAAGATTTTCTACAGATCAACATAAAGAGAAACATAAAGATTAATTAATGCTGTTTAGATGAATTAATGGTTTTATAGAATTCCTGATTTGATCCAAATAATCTTAGGAAGAAAGTTTTAGGAGGTGGTCTTAGTTGTTCTGCTAAAAAGTTGTAATAAAGTTAGAATCAAGAATAGAATGTGCCCACTCCTCAAAATAGTAAGTAAAAGATACATAATAAGAATACAATGAGCTTCCATAATTGTACTAAAAAGAGAAATAGGCTTGCAACAAATTCATATTCAAGGAAAAGCATTCAGGTCCAAGGATGAAGCCACAGGTGTGCACTATGAGAAGGCAAGGACATATGAAACTTTTGCTTTAAACTTGTAGTAAGCATATAGAATGAAACATTGCTTTGAATTTAGTATCACTATCCTTCTGTAACTCCCTTTAATGTGTCGTTTTATCTATGAGCCAATTTTCTAAGAAATTTTGCTTATAAAAAGACCAGAGAAAAGAAATAAAGATGTCATGGTGTGATAGTTTGGCTGGGGGTGGGCAGCTCTGTGCCACTCATCCACCCACTCATCCATCCATCCATCCATCCATCCATCCATCCATCCATTCAAATGTAGTCGTGTAGCCATTGTCTGCTTCTTTGTGTGTTTTTTCTGTGTGAGTGATTCTTTCCTCTCTGGTTCACAAGGAGTTAACTAGCCTGGTCTGCAGAAGGGCTCCTGGCTGGATGTCCAGAGAAGGGAGCTCTAGCAATAAATCCTTTATCTCACTGCTATACAACATATGCTAATTAACAGAGGATTATATAGTAAGTTTATAAAGTAAATAAGAGTTACATTTTCCAGTGCTTAATGAAGCACAGAATAGTTAGAGAATTAAAAGGCTGTAGATCATCAATCTTTTGACCTGCTTCTGATGTTGTGTCCCATCTCAGCTTGTTCTCCTAAGGCTGGGCAGGCCCCGCAAAGGAATATCAAGATGACTGTTTGTTTGAATCTGAAAGTAATTTAATGTGCTTACTTACTTAACACTAATTGAGGTTAATCTCCCATCAGAAGCTGTACCACACACAGCCTGCTCAGTTTAATCATAGAGCATGAGTGTAAACTTACCAAACCAGTGACAATCAATAACACAAAAGCACCTGTGCACAAAACCAATTCTGATAACTGGAAGTCAAGCTCGGCATCTTCATGCATCTTTGTCAAATACTTAACACTGGCTGAAATGGAAGGGAGGCACAGACCTTTTCTGCTGAGAATCCTTGCCTCTAAGAGGAAGAGTCCTTGCTAGTCTCTATTAGCTATCTTCCTCACCTCCTCAGTTCCAGGAGTACTCTCTTTCCTTCTTGGAGGCTGCCCAGCTCCTGGACGAAAGGCTCCCATTGGAATATTGATATTTGCCTAAGAGAGAAGTCAGGGTAAATTTAGCTTAAGAATAGTAAGAAATTGCATGACATTCTAAGACAGCAATCATCGTGAGGAAAATGCTTCTGAAAAGTACATCTTCAAAGCTTTTTATCTAAGGAAAATAGCTGTAACAACAGCACAAAATATGCAAAGGAGAATTTCACTTCATTTATTATACATTCCTGGTATCCACCTTTAGGTCTACACAGTGAATTTATGATTCCTTATTGGATGGAAAATTTTTTGAAGACAGTTTGTTCTAGCCATTGCCCTCCTATGGTGCATATCATTTTCCCCTTTAGGTGATGAAGAAGGAACACATAATGATAGAAAAGGAGGGAAATGGATCCACAAAAGCTATTCCACATTTAGTTCTCTGTCAGTTCCCTTCATATGTACAATGATGAGGGTACTTTCACACTTTCTAAGTTGCCACCTCCTTCCTGTAACATCCTGTCACTGCTCCAGGATCACCTCAGTTCCCTGAGCCTTCTGTCTTCTCCCAATATCCTCATGTGTAGGACAGTAAGGAAAAAGGAAAGTGTTATCAAATCAATTTTCTCTTTTAAATACAATTTTGATTCTTGCCTTTTATTAAGATAAAATACTAACCTCTTTCAGTGGCAAGCATGAAATACATTCTTGTAAACATAAATGCTTCAAACACTAAAGTATAGAAGAATACATTGACACAGTCATTTGAACTTGTGAAGATAGTATATAAATTTAAATTTCACCCATATTTTGACAGACATCAAAAGGTAAAAATGTTTAATACTTACCAAAACTGTCTTCAAATACATTAAGAGATTTAAAAACTAGAACATATTTATTCCACTTAAGATAAAATGTTGCTTTATCAGTGATTAGCTGTATGAGCTTGAAAAGTTAAAATTTCATTTTAATCTGAGTGAAAATGGTGTCTAAGAAAAAGGAGAAAAATGCTTTCTTAACTTGTGACACAGAGTGAATGATTTGGGTACTACACCAAATGAAACAGACTTTGGAAACACCTGGTATATGCTCCATTGCCAAGGTAATAATTAACCCATAACATAGGAAATAGCCAGTGTCAATGTTCACGCAACATGACAGGTCTGTGTTTGGCTCCAAGGAAAGCAGGTTTGAAAATTCTCCTTCATGCTAGACTAATACTGATCCCACAGAAAGAAAACAAGTTTCAAAGTGTTGGTGGCAAATAGCAAGAAAGGTACATCATTTTGATGCCAAGAAGTACTTTTTATCATCATATATCGTTAGAGAAATACATAAGACAAAGGGAAAGATATATTTTACATTCTGGCAAAGATGGAGCAATATTTCACGAATCTCATGAGATCATGATCTTACTATGTTTCCCAAGCTGGCCTCAAACTTCTATCCCCAAATGATCCTTCCACTTCAACTTTCCCAATAACTGGAATTTCAGGAAGGCATCATCTCTCCAGGTCACCTTTTACCATTTTAATTGGGACAATTTCTTTATTTCTTGGGAGGACATAAAATAATGCTATTTACTAGGGATGTATCTCAGTGATAAAGTGTCCTCAGTTTGATTCAGCACCACAAAGAGTCAAAACTGAAGGAAATTAATAGTATTTCACACTTGACAATATTGAGATCGGATGACATACATAGAGGCTTGAAATAAAACCAAAACAATGTGAACAGCCTCAGAGAAGATGATGTACATTAGACCAATAGACTATTTCCTCCACTATAGATTTGGATGACAGAAGAGAAATTCCAGCACTTTGGTGACTGAAGTAAAAAGATTGTCTGAGGCCATCCTGGGCTACAAAGCAAGAACCTTACCTCTCTCGAAAAAGAATTTTATTTAGAGTACCCCATTCAACCCATTTATTATGAATATATAGGAAGTACCTTCCTTGTGTGAATTTGGGTTAAAATACTGTTTCTGAAAGACTCAGTTGTTAAGCTGTTTAATCAAGTCAACACACATTATAATCAAATGTAGTTTTCAGTAAGGAAACATACAAAGGTGATCTGTAATAATATAATAGTTCATGTTATAGGATAATAATATTTTCTTATTTGGAGATTATCTTTAGAACTTTTGTTAGCCTTTCCAATATGTTGTTTAGAAGAGTGAAGTAGGGCTGGTAGTTTTTATAAATTCTCTCTTTTTTTTAATTGATGTTTCTTGATATAATTAGTATTTGACAGCTTTTCTGTGCTCCATTATTCTCATTTGTAGCATGAATAATGGGCTACATCATGATTTTTAAACCTCTTAACAATGGAATCCTTCCTTCAAGTAAAGTATTACCAGGATATCTGAAATACAAAATGGTATTCATCAAAGACATTTCTCTCTGCTACAGATAGAGACCATTACAGAAAACCAGAACTAGTCGAAAAATGGAAAACAACTGAGTACATAAACAGTACAACAAACAAAGGATACATTTTCAAATCAAACTTTTAAAGTTAACCTTTTCACTCTTCTAATTCAGTCTCCCAAGAGTTCTTTTCCCTTAGCTAATGGTAGCTCTAGCCAGCTCTAATATGGCAGACTTATCCTTTGAGAGTGACCTTTGGAAAGGAGAACACAAAATACATGCTTCTAAAATAGATTCCAAAAAAAAAAGCTACATTGGAAAATGAGCCATTAACTCTGACTTGACAATTTTTCTTCTTGAAGGCATCACTCAAGAAATCAGGAACCTAAATGGATTTTTAAAACAGCAAATATTGATGGGAAAGAAAGCAGCCTGAAAACATTTTGGCCATCCAATCATTACAGTGCATCAATAAGGGAATAAAAGAGCAGTGCTTTGTCAACTGTGTCATGTACTACATTAGTAATAACGTGATTAAAGAGGCTTCATTATTATAATTGTGGGGGAGTGGCATTTGAGTAACAAATTATGGACTACACTACAGCCATAAGAAAAAATTTTCATAACTTAAATTTGATAGGAAAATGTAGATCAGCTTTTCTTCTGTCATCTAGAAAATTAGATCATATTCTTGCCTCTTTTTTATTGCCTTGCTCTATGTCTGAACACAAAATAACTTTGCAATACCTTAGTACTTCCATCTGCAAATTGGGTATGGTATTTGCTATTCAAATTGTGTGTAATATAAGCTGTATTTTTTTAATCACAGAATAAGCAAACACATAAAAAGTTTGACATGAATGACTTAGAATCAATATAAGATGAGAATCTATAGAGATTCTCTGTAGATACAAATGAAGACAATTCTTGGGATATATATATATATATATATATATATATATATATATATATATATATTGCATTGTAACTCTTTTATTTCTTGTTCCTATTTTAAGTTTACTCATTTTAGATACCTTAATTTATGCCCCTGATGCAGCAGACCTGGTAGACCTGGTTCATCACCTTCCCAAGTTATACATAATTTGTTACATTCTCCAAACTGGAAATGGAAAAATCTAACAGGTCATCTTTGGCTAGAAAAGGATACTGTTTCCTGATAGAAGACCTATCTGATGTGAAATTAATACTGTGCTTGATCTCAGCAGGTAAAGAAAAGTAGAAAGAATTCCCTGTAAGTTAATTCCACCACTCCCTTAATTATTTGTATTGTTCTCCTTCCTTGGCTCTAGGCTTTGAGCCAGGAGGATTCTGGAAACAATATTCCCTCCTCAGTCACTAGTATATGGCTTACAATAAGATGACATCTTCTTTTCCCAAAGGGTTAGATTCTGATACCTGCTGCTCACTGAGGACTGGCAATTTCTACTAAACCTCATTCCACAGCCACAGATCTCTCTTCCCCTTCTTTCTTTTCCCCACTCACTAGCTCTTTTTCAGAAACTACTGTGATTTATCTGAACATTGCATGTTGCCTGAGAGGACTCCTATGCCCAGTGATTCTATCTTTTGTTTTCCAGTGTCCCAGAACCTCCTGCCAGTTTTGATGTGTACCATTCTCCTATGACAGGCAGGAAATCTTATAGGGCTGTTTCAGAACTGCTTTCTGCTCTACCGTATTCTCCGGCCTTATGATTCTCTGAATGAAATGCAACATGGTACTTACTTTAAAACTTACAGCATCTTTACAGAAGATTTGCAAAAAGAATTGTACTTTGAGCCTAGAAAATAAGAGTCTTTTTTGATATATTAGCCTGAAATAAGAGGTACCGATGAACACATACCTCTATCAACTAAAAGATAACCAATTTGTTTTAAAATAAAATCCTAAAGCTGTAGAATGCTTTTCTTGAAATGTGAAGGAGATTCAGAACATCAAACTTTCTCACTCAACGGTTTCGAGAAACTCCCACTCACTCACTGTTCTTTACCCATGATGTTTCATGCTGTAAGGTCCTCTCCCCTCCAACACTCTGTTCTCAATATCTTTTTGTTCTCTTCAGTAATTTCCTAAATGACTCAACTGTACTCTTGTCATCCATGGTAAAGCACATTTCAAGAATTTACTGTACAGCTTTTAAGACAATGTGCACAATTTGGTTGGGGGGCAGGTTATATTTATGAGGTACTTGTAAGTGGCAGCATTAAAAACATGACATATTTTAGTCAGGATATGACTGCTTGCCTCATGTCACAATGTTGGAGCCTTGATCAAAGCATCAGAGGGCATTAGTTGGAGTAACACCAAACCCACTTGAGAGTGAGATGGCTATATTCAAGTTCCTGCTGCACTTTAAAGACAGCAACATTGTAAATCATAAACAGTACGCTTGAGTGGTTTATGTAAGAAAGAAACAGTATATCTATGATCAAAGAATGGGTCTTGCCTCTACAGTAAAACAAATATCAAATGAAAGTTAATATTTTGTTTTAAATGTAAGTAAAAGATACAAGGAAAGCATGTGTCATCCTTAGAGGTTTTAGCTTAATCAATATACTGATTAAGTGACCAGACATGCAGAGTGGCAGTCTGCTCTTTTGTAGTGAGGACTGTCATACACTTAAAATCCTTTTTTTTAAACCAGAAATCCAACCCAGAAAAAAACAGTCTAT